TAGCAGTGGTACTAGTAGCAGCAGTAGTAGTAGTAGTAGTAGTAGTAGTAGTAGTAGTAGTAGTAGTAGTAGTAGTAGTAGTAGTAGGAGTAGTAGTAGTAGCAGTAGTAGTAGTAGCAGTAGTAGTAATGACGACCGTAGTGTTCGCAGTGGTAGTCGTAGTAGTAGTTGTAGCCGTAGTCGCAGCCGTAGTCGCAACATGCGAAGTTGTAGTCGCAGTGGTAGTTGTCGTAGTAGTAGTGGCAGCGGTAGCGGTAGTAGTGGTAGTAGTGGTAGTAGTAGTAGTAGTAGTAGTAGTAGTAGTGGTAGTAGTAGTGGTAGTAGTAGTAGTAGTAGTAATAGAAGTCGTAGGCTCACTAATAGTAGTCGTAGTGGTAGTAGTAGTAGTAGTAGTAGTAGTAGCAGTAGTAGTAGTAGTAGCAGTAGTAGTAGTAGTAGTAGTAGTAATAGTAGTAGTAGTAGTAGTAGTAGTAGTTGTAATAGCGGTAGTCGCAGTAGTACGTTAGTAGTAACCGTGGTATCAGTAGTAGTAGTAGTAGTAGCAGTAGTAGTAGTAGTAGCAGTAGTAGTAGCAGTAGTGGTCGTAGTAACAGTAGTGGTAGTAGTAGTCGTCGCGTCGTCGTCGTCGACGTCGTCGTCGTCGTCGTCGTAGTGGTACTCGTTGTCGTAGCCGTAGTCGCAGTAGTCGCAGTCGTAGCAGTAGTAGTGGTAGTAGTAGTAGTAGTAGTAGTAGTAGTAGTAGTAGTAGTAGTAGTAGTCATAGTAGCAGTAGTAGTAGTAGTCGTCGTCGTCGTCGTCGTCGTCGCCGCTACAGTAAAAGCCGTAATGGTCGTAGCAGTTGTACTAGTCGTAGGAGCCGCAGTAGTCGTAGTAGTCGCAGTAGTTGTAGTAATCGCCGTCGTAGTCGTAGGCGTAGCTGTAGCCGTAGTAGTCGGAGTCCTAGTAGTAGTAGTCGCAGTAGTAGTTGTAGTTGTAGTAATAGTAGTAGTCGTGATCGCATTCGTAAACGTAGCAGGAGTGGTAGTTGCAGTAGCAGCGGTCGTAGTAGTAGCAGTACTAGTGGTGGTAGTGGTAGGAGTAGAGGGTGCAGTCCCAGTAGTAGTAGCAGTAGTAGAAGCAGTGGTGTAGTAGTTGAAGTAGAAGTAGTCGTAGTCGTAGTAGTAATACTTGTAGTCGTCGTCGTCGTGGCCATAGTAGTCGTAGTAGTCGTAGTAGCAGTAGCAGTAGCAGTAGCAGTAGTAGTAGTAGTAGTAGTTGTTGTCGTATCTGTAGTAGCCGTAGTAATTGCAGTAGTCGCAGTAGTCGTAGTAGTCGTAGTAGTAGTAGTAGTAGTAGTAGCAGCAGTAGTAGTAGTAGTAGTAGTAGTAGTGGTAGTAGTAGTAGTAGTAGCAGTAGCAGTAAACGTAGTAGTAGTAGTCGTATCAGTAGTAGTAGTAGTAGTAGTAGTAGTAGAAGTAGTAGTAGTAGCCGTAGCAGTAGTAGTATTTGTAGTAGTCGTCGAAGTGTTATTTGTAGTAGTGGCAGTAGTAGTAGTAGTAGTAGTAGTAGTAGTAGTAGTAGTAGTAGTGGTAGTAGTAGTAGTAGTCGCAGCAGTAGTAGTAGTAGTAGTAGCAGTAGTGGTGGTAGTAGTAGTAGTAGTAGGAGTCGTAGTAGTACTAGTGGTAGTAGTAGTAGTAGCAGTAGTAGTAGTAGTAGTAATTGTAGTAGTACTTGTAGTAGTAGTAGTAGTAGTAGTAGTCGTCGTCGTCGTCGTCGTCGTCGTCGTCGTCGTCGTCGTCGTCGTTCTTCGTATTTGTAGTAGTCGTCGTAGTAGGCGTAGTAGTCGTAGTCGTAGTCGTAGTCGTAGTAGTAGTAGTAGTAGTAGCAGTCGTAGTAGTAGTCGTAGTAGTAGTAGTCGTCGTCGTAGTAGTAGTAGTCGTCGTAGTAGCAGTAGTAGTGGTAGTAGTGGTAGTAGTCGTAGTAGTCTTAGTTGTAGTAGTCGGAGTAGGAGGAGGGGGAGAAGCAGGAGGAGGAGGAGGAGGGGGAAGTGGGAGTATGGGGACGGCGTTTGGGGAGGAGGAGGAGGAAACGCGGTAGGAGGAGGAGGAGGAGGAGTGAGGGAGGAGTTTGGTGAGTGGGATGCGGACGAGGATTCCGATGGTGATGATGGAGATGGTGGTGGTGGTGTTGATGATTCCTGTAATGAAGGTGGTGATTGTGGTGATGGTGATGATGACGATGGTAGTCATGACGGTGCTGATGGCCACATCGTTAAGGATAATGATAGCGGTGATGTTGATGTTGATGGTGATGATGACGGTGATGGTGATGGTGATGCCGATGCTGATGATGATGATGACGCTGGTGATGGTGAGTGTGATCATGTTGATGGTGGTGCTAGTGCTAATGATGATGACGATGATGATGAGGATGATGATGATGTCGTTGATGACGACGGCGGTGACGACAATGATGATGACCATGATTATGACGATGATGGTGACAATGATGATGATGATGATGATGATGATGATGACGACGACGATTCTGATGTTGATGATGATGCTGCTGCTGATGATGGTGATGCTGCGGATGATGATGCTGCTGCTGGTGAGTCGAAGGAGGAAGAGATAGAGGAATGGTGATGATGCGGATGGATAGGAGGGGGGTGGAGGAGGGAGGAGGAGGGAGGGGAGGGGGGAGGAGGAGGGACGAGGAATGAGGAGCAGGAGGAGGAGGAACACGAAGAGCATGGATGAGAAGGAGAAGAAGGGGGCGCGGGAGCAGGAGGATAATGCAGACTCCTATTCTCCTTTTCTTTACTGTGCTGCGCTCGGCACGGACTCCCCGCCCGGGAGCGGCCTCCTCATCACCATCATCATCACCGTTCTCCTCCTCCTCCTCCTCCTCCTCCTCCTCATCATCATCATCATCACTCTCATTACCATCCCCTTTCCCATCATCATTATCAGCATCATCCGCAATATCACCATCATCATCAGATTAGCATCGTCATCATCCTTGTCTGGGCCTTATGAGACCCCACCCTCCCTGTCGCCATGTCTGGACGCGGCTCGCAGTCGCGCCAGGACAGTACCCGGGAAACCCAGGAAAGGTCAGGGGGATCGGTTTTGATCTCCCCCCCTCCTCCGCCCTCCTCCCGGGCCCTCCTTCTTCTTCCTGCAACAGGCTCGTCGTCGTCGTCCTCCTCCGCCTCTTCATTATCCTGCGCCTTCTCCTCCCCGATTTTTTGCCGCCCCCCAGAGTCGTCGGTGCCTCTCTTATCTTTCCTCTCTCTTGCGCGTGGTTGTCCTCTTCCTCGGGCGGGACAGCCCCCTTGAGGGGCGCGGACGTCTCTGGCCTCTGGACGGATACCGTTCTTCGCGTTCGTGCTCTTGTCCGCCCGTCTCTCTTGGCAGTAGCGCTCCTCCTCCGTCCTCCTCCCTCTCCCTTTCTCGCTCCTCCCGATGGCCTCCCGCGGCGGCCTGCGGACTGAGGCGGCTGCCTCGTGAAGCGGCCCCCCTCACCCCCCTCTTCTGGTGGCAGCAGCGCGACGACCAGCGCCTCCTCCTTCCTTCTGCCTGGTCGGCACGGAGGGCTCGTCCTGGTCAGCGCGCCCCAGTGGAGAAACAAAAGCGACGCGGGCGTTGGTCAGGGAGTGTACCCAGCAGACCTCAGATCGCGGAGGCTTCCTGATCAGACGAGGGCAGCGGCAGCGGTGATGTGCAAGGCCAAGCCTCCACAGGTGCCCCACTGGCCTCCGGACCCTGGATTCCTTGTCCAACGGATCTTTTTCCAGCGCCCTCACCGCAGATCCCAGTTCTGGCCTCGAGCAGCCTTCAGCTCGAAGCAGGCAGTGTGTACCTCTCGGGTGGGCCGGCGCCTGCGTGACCGAAGTACATCTCTGGGCGACTACCGCCTGCTCCTGCCGCGCGCGGGCGCCGGCGGAGGTGCCGGCCACGGCCACGCCATCTTCGGGACGTCGTAACCGCCGTCTCGGAGGAGTTCGCCAGCCTCGGCCAGGCCCAGGGCCCGGTCGGGAACTGTTGGATACGGGGGGGGCGTTCGTGAAGGAATGTGCCCAGGAGGCTGCAGGCCCTGCAGGATTCCTTATCTGATGAGGACGGTGGTGATATCCATGGCCGAGTCACGATGGGAGTTCCACCGGCTTCCAGACCCTGGGTTTCTTATCCAAGCGTTCCTTGTCCAATGCGCAATGAACCCTCTCGCGACCCCAATCAGGGGAAGCCTGTTGAATGGGCGCATCGCTGGTCGCATGTCTTGGCATGGGTTAGCATTGCTTGGCATTGCTTGGCATTGCTTGGCACTGCTTGGCATTGCTTGGCATTGCTCGGCATTGCTTGTCATTCCTTGGCATTGCTTGGCATTGCTCGGCATTGCTTGGCACTGCTTGGCATTGCTTGGCATTGCTCGGCTGCGCTTGGCATTGCTTGGGGCAACCAGGGGCGGTGAACCCGAGAAACCTGGGGAACCCAAGGAACACGGGGAACCCGAGGAACCTCCGAGGAACGGGCAAAGGAACACTCCGAGGCGCCAACCTTTAACCAAGCAAACACCTCTTAGGTAAGCCTAATTGGGGAAAGAGTTTCTGACCCCAGAGCTCTCACCCTGCCAGGCCGATTGGCGAATAGTCCTCTTCGATTCGCGCGAGGGCGCTGCGGCCGCGATTCTAGCGGGCATGCGCCCGCCGTGTCTGGCCCCGGGCCATTTTCACCGAAGGGCTTTGTCCACCCTCGATCGTCTTCGTCCTCCCCCTGAGGCCTCTGGAGGCCCCCACGCATGTCTCCGAAGACCTTCGTCAGCCTCACTTCCTCGTCCTCGTTGTCGTCCTCGTCGTCGCCCTCCCTCCTCATCGTCCTCCTCGTCATCGTCCTCGTCCTCGTCGCCCTCCCCCTCCTCCTCTTCCTCCTCCTCCTCGTCCTCCTCGGATCGTCGTCGTCGTCCTCCTCGTCCCTGTCCTCGTCCTCGTCCTCCTCGTCCTCCTGGCGTCAAGCGCCGAGGTGGCCGCGTACCCCCTCTTCGGGCACCTGGGCCTCCGGCCCCCAAGCGCGGGGGCCTGCGAGTTCGCCGGGCTGCACGAGTGGCGGGGCATTTGCGCCGCGCCAGGGGCGCCGCTGCGGCAGTCCGTCCGCTGCCGTCCGTCGTCGTCGTCGTCGTCGTCGTCGTCGTCGTCGTCGTCGTCGTCGTCGTCGTGGTCGTCGTCGTCGTCGTCGTCGTCGTCAATCGTCCGTCGCCGTTGTCGCCGTCGCAGTCGTCCGTCGCAATTGCCGTCGTCTGCGATCGTCTTCGTCCGCATCATCGGTTGTCGGTCGTCGTTGTCCGTTTGCCTGTCCGTCGTCGTCCGTCGTCGAGGCCGAAGCCGAGGTCGTCGAGGGTGCGTATTTGATACTATGTGGGCATCTGGAGGTCTCCAGCGGTCGTCGCCGACCTTGTCATCGGCATGCTGCTTCTCCCGCCGACTAGAGGAAGAGAACTTGTCCTCGTTTCCGTCGTCGTCTCCGTCTCCGTTTTCGTCGCCTTCGTAGCTGTTGCCCCCGTCGTAATTCTTCTCGGGGAGTTTGGGGAGAAAGAGTGAGCGAGGGAAAGCGGGAGAGAGAGGATAGGAAGGAGAGGAAGAGGGGGGATAGAGGAGGAGGAGGTGGAGGAGGAGGAGGAGCAGATGTACGGGAGGGGAAGGGGCGAACAAGAAAATGCATTCGCAAGATCTCGCATGACACCGCTGTGCATGACGGCCACGAGCGATGATACCCTTGATCGCGAGGATGGCCTGTTTTGGTTCCGCGAGTGTCCTTTCCCACAACTGTACCCTTAATTGTGATGCTTCCATTGAGGAACCTCGTTGCTTTGAGCACGGTGGCACCCCCGAGCGTTTAGCGGATTGAGGGCGGGTGGTTTTCAACATGTGGTTCTCGCCTTAGCGCCGCGCGCATTCGTTTCAAAAAATTGCAAGGGCTTCCAATATGTGGCTCTCGCCTTAGCGCCGCGCCCATTCGTGTGAAGCATTAGCAAGAGTTTCATTGGTTTTCATTGTTGAAGTAGTTGTGTTTTGGAACAGTTCAGGATTGCCAGGGCGCGCCAGTTATGTTGATTCGCGGTGTTGACGTGCCAGGGACGACGTTCTGGCACGATTCGGGTTCGCCAGGACGTATTAGAGAGATTCACATGTGGCGTTGAAGTCCTGGAAATAGTGCTCTGGAGCGCTTCAAGATGTTCACACGGTTGTCCCCTGACGGGGCGTTTCCCTGAGTGAAGATGGCCTTTTGTAGGGGCCTAAGGGGGGGATCTTGGAGGGAGGGTGTATTTCAACATCGTTGATGGGTCTTGGGTTTGCACTGGTCATCCCTCCTCCTCCTCCTCCTCCTCCTCCTCCTCCTCCTCCTCCTCCCTCCCTCCTTCCTCCCTCCTCCTCCTCCTCCTTCTCCTCCTCCTCCTCCTCCTCCTCCTCCTCCCTTCTCCTCCTCCCTCCTCCCTCCTTGTCCCACCTCCTTCCGGGGCCCGCAGGCGCCCCCGGAGGCGCACCTCCCCCTGTTCCGGCACTGGTGCTTCCTGGACCCCCAGGCCGAGGACCCCGTGCCCTGGAAGCGCGGAGGAGGCGTCGTCGTCATTGGCGGCGGCGTCGTCGTCGTCCAAAATCGTCATCGTCGTCGCCGTCGTCGGCGTCGGCGTCGTAGTCGTCGTCGCCGTCCGTCGTCGTCGTCGTCGTCGTCGTCGTCGTCGTCGTCGTCGTCGTCGTCCGTCGTCCGTCGTCGGACGTCAACGTCGTCGTCTGACGTCGTCGTGGTCGTCGTCGTCGTCGCCGTCGTTGCGTTGTCGTCGTCGTCGTCAGTGTCGTCGTCGTCGTCGCCGTCGTCGGACGTCGTCGTCGTCGGACGTCGTCGTCCGTCGTCGTCGTCGTCGTTCGACGTCGTCGTCGTCGGCATTCGTCGACGTCGTCGTCGTCGCCGTCGTTGGCGCCGACGTCGTCGACGACGTCGTTGTCGTCGTCGCCGTGGTCGTCGTCGTCGTCGCCGTCGTTGCGTTGTCGTCGGACGTCGTCGTTGTCGTCGTCGTCGTCGTCGCCGTCCGTCGTCGTCATCGTCGTCGTCCGTCGTCGGACGTCGTCGTCGTCGTCGGACGTCGTCGTCGTCGGACGTCGTCGTCGTCATCATCGTCGTCGTTCGACGTCGTCGTCGTCGTCGGCATTCGTCGACGTCGTCGTCGTCGCCGTCGTTGGCGCCGACGTCGTCGACGACGTCGTTGTCGTCGTCGTCGTGGTCGTGGTCGTCGTCGTCGTCGGCGTCGACGCAGACATAGTTGTCGTCGTCGTCGTCGTTGTCGTCGTCGTCGTTGTGGTCGTGGTGGTGGTCATCGTCGTCGTCGGTCGTCGGTCGTTTGTCGGCGGTCGGTGGTCGGAGGCGGCGTCGTCGTCGGTCGTCGATCGGCGGTTCTCAATCGTAGGTCGTCTGTCGTCGTGCGGCGGTCGGTGGTCGTCGTCATCGTCGTCGTCGTCGTCCACGACGTCGTCGTCGGACGTCGTCGTCGTTGGTTCGTCGTTCGTTCGTCTGTCGTCAGTCGTCGGTCGTCGGTCGTGGTCGTCGGCGTCGTCGTCGTGCGTCGTTGTCGTCGTTGTTGTGGTCGTCGTCGTCGTACCGTCCGTCGTCGGTTGTCGTTGTTGTTCGTCGGTCGCCAGTCAGTGGCGGCGTCGGCGTCGGCGTCGCCATCATCGTAGTTGTCGTCGTCGTTGTCGTCGTCGTCCGTTCGTTGTCGTCCGTCGTCGTTGTGGCAATCGTCGTCGGTGGCATCGCCAGTGAGCGGCGTTGTGCGACCTGGACCCCCGGGCCGAGGACCTCGTGCCCCAGCAGCGCGGAGAGTGCGTCGTCGTCGTCGTAGTCGTCGTCTGTCGTCGGTCATGGGTCGTCGGTCGTAGGTCGTCCGTCGTCGGTCGTCGGTCGTCGTCGTCGACGTCGTCGTCGTCGTCGTCCGTTCGTCGTCGTCGTCGTCCTCGTCGCCGTCGTCGCCGTTGTCGTCGTCGTCGTCGTTGGTCGTCGGTCGTCGGTCGTCGGTCGTCTGTCGTCGGCTGCGGTTGGCGTCGGCGGTGGCGGCGTCGTCGACGTCGTCGTCGCCGTCGCCGTCGTCGTCGGTCATAGGTCTTCGGTGTCGATCGCCGGTCGGTTGTCCTCGGTGGCATCGTCGTCGACTTCGTCGTCGTCGTCGCTTGTGTCGTCTGGGTCGTAACCTCCGTTGACGTCGTCGTCGGCGTCGTTGTCGTCGTCGTTGGTCGTCGTCGTCGTCGGACGTCGGTTGTCGGTCGTCGGTCGGCGGTCGGCGGTCGTTGGTCGTTGGTCGTCCTCGTCGTCGTCGTTGACGTCGTCGTCGTTGTCCTCGTCGTCGTCTGACGTCGTTGTCGTCGTCGTCTTGATCGTCGTCGTCGTTGTCGTCGTTCGTTGGTCGTTTATCGTTGGTCGTCGGTCGTGGTCTGCGGTCGTGGTCGGCGGCGTCGTCGTGGACTCCGTCGCCTTCGTCGTCGTTGTCGTCGTCATCGTCGTGGTCGGTCGGTGGTCGTCGTCGTGTTCGTCGTCGTGTTCGTCGTCATCGTCGTCGTTGGCGTCGGTCGTAGGTTTTTGTTTGTCTGTCGTCGATCGTCGTCGTCGGTCGGCGTCGTCGTCGTCGTTGTCGTCGACGTCGGCCGTCGTCGTCGTCGTCGTCGTCGTCGTCGTCGTCGTCGTCCAACGTCGTCGGTCGTTGGTCGTTCTTGGTCCGTCGTTGGTCGCCAGTCGCTGGTCGGCGGCGCCAGCGTCGTCGTCGTCGTTGTCGTCGTCGTTGTCGGTCGTCGGTCGTCGTGATCGTCGTCGTCGTCGTCGGTCGTCGGTCGTCGGTCGGCGGTTGGCGGTCGGCGTTCGTCGTCGTCATCGGCGTCGTTTTCGTCGGCCTTCGGTCGTCGGTCGTCGTTCGGCGGTCGGCGACCGTCGTCGTCGTCGTGGTTGTCTTGGTCGTCGTCGTCTTTGTCATCGTCGTCGTCGTCGTCAACGGTCGTCGATCGTATGTTGCCTGTCGTCGGTCGGTGGTCGGCGGTCGGCGTCCGTCGTCGACGTCGTCGTCGTCGGTCTTCGTCGTCCTCGTCGGTTGTTTGCCGTCGGTCGTCGGTCGTCGGTCGGCGGCGTCGTCGTCGTCGCCGTCTGTGGTGTCGTCGTCGTCTGTCGTCGTCCGACGTCGTCGACGTCATCGTCGTCAACGTCGTCGTTGCCGTCGTCGTCGTCGTCGTTCGTAGGTCGTCGGTCGTCGGTCGTCGTCGTCGGTTGGCGGTCGGTGGTCGTCGTTGTCGTCGTCGTCGGTCGCCGGTCGTCGGTTGTCGGCCGTCGGTCGTCGGTCGTCGGTCGTCGGGCATCGCGGGCGTCTGTCGGCGGTCGTCGTCGTCGTCGTCGTCGCCGCCTTCGTCGTCGTCGTTGTCGTCTTCGTCGTCCGACGTCTTCGTCGTCGTCATCGTCGTCGTCGTCAACGGTTGTCGATCGTCTGTTGTGTGTCGTCGGTCGGCGGTCGGCGGTCGGCGTCGACGTCGTCGTCGTTGTCGTCGGTCGTCGGTCGTCTGTCGTCGGTCGTCGGTCGGCGGTCGGCGGTCGTCGTCGTCGTCGTCGACGTCGTCGTCGTCGTCGATGTCGTCGTCGTCGTGGGTCGTCGTCGTCGTCGTCCGTCTGCGGTCGTCCGTCGTCGTCGTCGGTCGACGCTCGTCGGTCGGCGGTCATCGTTGTCGTTGACGTCGTGGTCGTTCTTGTTGTCGTCGTCCGACGTCGTCGTGGTCGTCGTCGCCGTCGTCTTCCTCGTCGTCGTCGACGTCGGTCGTCGGTCCTCGGTCGGCGTTCGTCGTCGTCCCTCGTCGGTTGTCGTCGTTGGTGGCGCTGTTTTCCACGTCGTCGTCGTCACCGTCGGCGTCGGAAGACGTCGTCGTCGTCGTCGGTCGTCGTCGTCGGTTGGCGGTCGTCGTCTTCGTCGGTCGTCGTCGTCGGCGTCGTTGTCCTCGTCCGACGTCGTCGTCTTCGTCGTCGTCGCCATCCTCGCCATCCTCGCCGTCGTCGTCGTCGTCGTCGTCGTCGTCGGTTGTTTGTCGTCGGTCGTCGGTCGTTGGTCGTCGGTCGTCGTCGTCGTCGACGTCGACCTCGTCGTCGTCGTTGTCGTCGTTATCGTCTTCGTCTTCTTTCGACGTCGTCGTCGTCGTCGTCGCCGTCGCCGTCGTCGTCGCCGTCGCCGTCGTCGTCGTCTTTGTCGTCGTTGTCGTTGTCATCGGAATGGGGGGAAAGGAGTGGGGTTCTGGTGAGAAGGAGGAGGAGGAGCAGGAGGAAGAGGAGGAGGAGGAGGAGGTGGTCCGCGCAAATTTCTCGAATCTGCGCTGGGCCCCCCCTGGCGGGCCCCCCCGGCGCCGCCCCTTGAGGCGCTTCGCCTGCCCTTGGCAGGGTGTCCAGCGCCGACCCAAGAAATCCGTGCGGACCTCTGATCTCGTTGGTACTCCCTGTCTGGGCAGGGTTGCAACGGATTGCCGCGGAGACAGATAGAGAAGGAAAATATATCCCTACCGCTACACTGCGGCCGTTTTTCCATGTTTGGGGCCTCCTGGGAGGCCCTCGTCACCACCGCTGGATTCGCTTCGAAATTCTGGTCAGAACGTACCCCGAGAGAGGTCTGGGGGGTAACGGTATCGGCATCTTTCGGTTACCCCATGAGCCCGCTGCTGGCAACGGAGGTTGCGTAAGCGAAGGCTCAGAAATTGTTGACGTTTCGCGTATCCCCACTCGGCCCGTAGCCCTCTGGCTCAAGGCCGTCTGGTGGGCCTGCCCCCTCCGGGGCAGTTTCCCACCGCTCAAGGGGGCGCCCGGACGCCGCTTCGTCCCTCCAGCCCAGGGCCGCCTGTCCCCCCCACTTGCTACGCGGGCGATGGCTGACCCGCACGATGGACAAGCGGGAGATCCTGATCGCACAGTACGCGGCTCGGGAGCCCGTGTACTGGCACCGATTGAGACATCTCCCCCCCATGCAGAGCAGCATTCGCCCACAGGCGTGGCGGAACCAGCACCGAGTACGGATCCGAGACCACCCCCTCCACGCGAGGGGGAAGAAGATTCCCAGGTGCAGGTGGAGGGCCCTGACCCTGAGACGAATCCTGAGCACATCCCATTCCCCCCCACGCCACCCACCTCCCCTCGCAGTGGGGCGGGCGGCTCGCATTGGACCCGAGCGGCGGACACAGCTCGGTCCACAGCGGTTGGAAGTGGAGACGCGGAGCCTGCTCGGGGGACGGCTGCGGAAGCACGCCCAGGTGGGGAAGACGGAGCTTCCCCCCCGACCGTGGTGACCAACGACCCCCCGCAGGAAGACACGGGCAGAGACGTCACCGCCCCCCCCCTTTCCTCCAACAATTTACCAGATCCCGTGGCTATCGGCTGCGCCTCCTACTCTCCTCATCCTCCTGATGTGCAGGATATACATGCTGCGTCACCTGGAGAGTGGCAGAGCGGCCAGGGACTGGCTGGCGGAGCGTCCGACGCTGGGGCGGCGCCGACAGAGGCAGAGGCTGCCCCCCCCCCACAGCCCAACGCCAGGGG